GTGGAGCAGACGGTGGCAGCCCGCTGCTCCTTGGCCTTTTTGCCCCGCTGTAACCAGGTGGAATCCTGGAAAGGGTAGAGCACCATGTTTTTAAACAGCTCCTGGGGAGAGATAGTGTCACTGGGCCCTGCCACAGACCACAGGGCCCCAAGCAAGGACAGAGTCCACTGATCAGTCTGCAGCTCAGAAAGTCAGGACTGTGGCTCACGCCTCGTGGGGAATTCGGGGTTCTGTCTCCCTGCCACAAGGACATCTTACATAAGAGTGACCCTATGGTGTGCAAGGATGGAGCTGGGATATGAACAGGACATGGGTTCAGCAGGTCTTGATGGCAGATGCCTGGAAGGAGTCCACACTTGCCTTTCCTTCTGCGCCCAGCCACTTACCATGTCCCTCAGCGTGACCCAGTCAGCCACCAGATCAGGAGGGGTCCCATCATGTGAGGCTTCCCTGCACTCACCCTGGTTTTCATGGTCATAGGTGAAGGCCAGGATGGCACCACTGGTAGAAGTGGCCCTGCTCTGGCTGGCTCCAGCTCCAGAGTCTCAGTTCCAGTCTGCTTCTTCTTTGGAATAACCCGAGGTGGCTTTCTAGGTGCACCTGGCCATGGAGCTGGCACTGCAGCCAACTCTTGCCCCAGAATGGGTGGTGGATCTGCCACTGGTTTAGAGGCTGCTGCCAGAGCTGCCTCTTGCTCTCCAGTTGGACCTGGCACTAGTGCTGCTGCCTGGGCTGTAGGAAAAAAACGGTGCCAAACATCACTGCCTTGATCTTAACCTTTCCCTGCCTTCTGGAAAAAATCTTCCAACCCTGATTCCACAACAGGACATCTGCTCAGACTGTGGTCCACCACCTGAGGGGTCCAAGGCTCATGTTTGGGCCTCGCCCAACCCAGCCAAGAGCCTCCTCCTGGTGGGTCCAGCACCAACCTTCCTCATGTGCTTTGATGGACACATCCCAGGCCTCCTCACCCCCAGGCTTGGCCTTCGTGGTCTGTGTGTCTTCCAGCTGGGCCAGTAGAAGGTGCGCACGGTGCTCCAGGTCTGAGCCAGGCATGTGCAGCTGTATGTACTCCACCAGCTGCTTGAGGCACGCGAACTCCAGAGGCTGCTGGAAGTGGTCTGGATACTTTTCCAGCCATGTGCCCAAGATGGTAGAGTGGCACTGAGGACAGGTGGGTGGGCAGTGTCAGGGACCTGACCTCCCCTTCTTGATGGCATCCCAAGGCACACCTGTGGGGCCTGGGCTACTGTGCTCCCCAGTTCACTGAGTGAATAGCCCCGCTCACCCTGAGCCCCTCAGACCGTCCATCCAGAGTTTGGCCAAGAGACCCGGCAGAGACTGCAGAGAGACTCCACTGGAGGGAGCCCTAGATCAACTCCCCTTCTTCAGAGAAGCCCACACTCTGCTGTGTGGAACTGGTAACACACCTGCCCCTGCTCACTAGAAGGTGAACTCTTCAGTGGTTGTTGCTCCCACCCATGACCCCGGTGACACCTCAACCTGTGGCCCGGGCTGCCAGGCTGCTTCCATGTCTGAGTCACCTATGGGTCTTATCTTCCCAGCCATGCTTCCACTGAGGGGTGCAGCCACCCCTTACTGTCATCAAGTCGCCTGGAAACTACCAGCAGAGTAGCAAGGCCACATAGGAGCATGCTGCTCCCCAAACAGCCAGTGTCCCAGTGAGGGCGGGGGTGGACCCACAGGGCTGGAATGGGCTCTGGTGGAGCGGGTCCTCATAGTGCTTGGCTCAAATCCCCGGGCCCCTCCTGTTCCCTGGTCGAGGACCCCACCCAGAGCTCTTATTTCCTCCTCCTGCAAGGGAAGCCCCAGACCTCAGCCCTCCAGCAGGAAACACAAATACAGGAGCTGGTATTTGCCCCCTCCCTATCTCAGCTCCCCAGTTCCGCAGTCCGGACACAGGTACACAGGAACCTTCCCTCTTGAGCCAAATCCCACTCACCTTTTCAGTTGATCCAGAGGCCCGCCATTTTCACTGGAGTAATGGAGGCTTTGGCTGTATGTAGAGGCCATGAGGGTATCACATCTGTAACCAGCGTGATGAAATGATACTTTAGCTGTGAGAATTTTTCCTTAGGGACAAGTGGCTTCTCCAGACTTCCTCAAGCTGAGGACTTAACTGCCACCCCCTCTTCTCCTAAGCCCAGAGCACAGGAGACAATATGCAGATGCTGCCACAGGAGGTCAGGCCCCACTTCATTTCCAGAAGGAAGGGGGTGAGTGAAATGTGTCTGGGAGTCATGGAGCAAGCCTGGAGAGGTGCCTTCTTTTCTGGTGTGCCCCCTCCCCTGTGCCTTACTGTGAAAGACCCTGCACACATGGACACTGAGAGATGGTG